CATTAATTTGACATTCGACCCACCATAATTTCTACTTTCCTAACTATGATTTTGCATTCTTTCCCTCTTAATGTTTTCCTTCCTCTCTCTCTCTGCTCCACCTCTCTCGACCATTTTACTACACATACACTTATCCTGCCTTTTACCAGTTGTTCTAACCTACATTCGCTTCTTTGCACATCCTCGCAGGCCTCTGCCTCCGTTTGCATCTCCTCTCTCCTTCCTTCATTCAACCGCTTATGATTTAACATCGTTTTGACCGAAGGGGTTAAAAAAACATCTCTCAAAATTTTTAATCGATCTCTAGTTTTACCAAAGAAGACGAAAGGTGCCTTTTACAAGCTTAATTGAAAATTATTTTCTAAAGATTCTTCTTAATGAACTTGTCAATTTTTCCTGTAAAAATTATACAGTCACAACTTATGAAAAATAAATAAATTGTATATTGTATATTGTATATGTATATACGTATATCGCATGCAATTAACTCAATAAAGAGGAATTCAATAGAACTATCGATAATTTCAGTTAGAATGTCGTCTAAAAAACCTGGAAAAATTTTAGCAAATACATTGAACAATTTCGTGAATAATCAATAAGTAAGGCTAAGCAACGGTAAACTGTTGTGTATACATATAGTGTATATCTCCTTTTCCCACATTTTCTGTGTACAATCTCAGCGTCAACCAGGGAGAATTTACTGTACCGGTATTTTTTATCTATTTTTGTATTTCGAGTTTTGCAAGGGCTAGGAAGGTACAGCCGAAAAATATCAGTGCGACATACCGATATTTTACATTTTGATGGAAGTCCTAGGAAAAAATGCGTCGGTCGTACGGAAATTGAGATAACGACACTCGTCGGTGAATATTGATAATGAAATGAACAATGTTATCGGTTTGCAAGCTTGCAGTTCATGTATTTGCTAACACGATATCGACAATAAAATATTATTGGTTCTACATCTGTGCTTAAAAATCGTGTAGAAAATGGAATGAGATGTGCAAACCGATGAAATGACAGATTCCACCCGGTAAATGCAGTAAATTCTCCCTAATCGACGCTCAGATTGTGCACAGAAATGGACAATTTGGGAAGAGGAGATACGATTATAGTTGTTAATAATCAGTAGCTATAAAAACGAGCCGCAAGGCTCGAATAATCGTATCTCGTTTTCCCACATTTTCTGTGTACAATCTCAGCGTCAACTAGGCAGAATTTACTGTACCGGTATTTTTTATCTATTTTTGTATTTCGAGTTTTGCAAGGGCTAGGAAGGTACAGCCGAAAAATATCAGTGCGACATACCGATATTTTACATTTTGATGGGAGTCCTAGGAAAAAACGCGTCGGTGGTACGGAAATTGAGATAACGACACTCGTCGGTGAATATTTATAATGAAATTAACAATGTTATCGGTTTGCAAGCTTAGCGGAATGCCGCATGTAATCACGATGCAAGTTTTGATTCGACCCTCTGCTCCATCAATTCCCGTTCTTTTTTTTCTCTGCGGTGCGCGCGTATCCCGCATTTCCATATAAATATGATCGTGTACCTTCCACGATCCCATCGGTTGCAACATTTCGACCTACGTGTACGAACAAAATCCATAAATTAAACTCGTTCCGCTGTGCGCCGCCATCTGTATGGACGAGGCGCATTACGTGTGTCCGTATCAGAGAGAATTTGCCGTTCCAAATGAACAGTTCATTCTTTATTACCGTACATTTCCAACGATTTACTTGAAATAATTGTCAAGCAAACGTTTATTTCACTATTTCACACTAAAACTTCAAATTTATCCTGTCGCGCGAAATTTCGACAATATTCGAAGTAAAGAGACCTGCAAATTATGGGGCTCAAGGTATACATACAGGAACGCGCGGCAGTGTAGGAAAATTTATTTGTAATATTTCCGTGCTATTGAGTATACATATATACATAAATATGAACATAATAGTATAATGAACACGGTTAAGTGGAAAATATCAACCCCAAAAATTCCCACAATATCACGCACACAAAGTCATTTAACCCTTTCCACTCCAGTGGTGACTCTGAGGCACCACTAAAATTGTTAATTCACGTTCCAAGATAATTTTTATATTAACCCCTTGACATACCGTCTTCTTCGCAGTTACTGTAATTCGAAATTTTTCAATTGCAATAATTTCTTAGAAGGGAAAGAAAATTGATGCTTATTGTGTGCCTAAATTTACTCGAATGCTTAAACATTAATGACAAGAGATTAGAATTTTATTCCAATTTCAAAGGACAGAATAACATCTATACTCAATTAATTATTATCAGAAATTTTCATGACGAGTCGGACTCGTCAAAATACGGCAACGGGTTAACAAAGTTTAGAGTTAGAAAAATGGTTAAAAGTGTAACTATTATTTGAGTCATCGCAAGACTCAATTTCATAAGCATAAAATGCACTTGATCGTGTAAAATGAAAATACCGTAAGTCGGAAAAATTATTTTAGATTTACGGTTGAAACGGCTTCGAGTGCAAAGGGTTAATCAATGAAACCGAGACTAGAAAGCTGGAACTAAAAATAGTAACTATTAGTTTAACTCTTTTGCATTCTAAAGATCCTAGTTATTCTATTTCGTTTTTGTTCAAAACATATCGCAATAAAAACGAATTTCAAAGCCTAGTTAAAAGTTAGTGACATGTGACTAATGCGGCGCACGGTATTCAAAGCTTAACAACTTGTTTCTATGTATATCCGATATTGTATACATATGCTCGTTTTTATAGTTACTGATTATTAACAACTATAATCGTATCTCCTCTTCTCAAATTGTCCATTTTTGTGCACAATCTGAGCATCGATTAGGGAGAATTTACTGCATTTGCCGGGTGGAATCTGTCATTTCATCGGTTTGCATATCTCATTCCATTTTCTACACGATTTTTAAGCTCAGATGTAGAACCAATAATATTTTATTGTCGATATCGTGTTAGCAAATACATGAACTGCAAGCTTGCAAACCGATAACACTGTTAATTTCATTATAAATATTCACCGACCAGTGTCGTTATCTCAATTTCCGTACCACCGACGCGTTTTTTCCTAGAACTCCCACCAAAATGTAAAATATCGGTATATTGCACTGATATTTTTCGGTTGTACCTTCCTAGCCCTTGCAAAACTCGAAATACAAAAATAGATAAAAAATACCGGTACAATAAATTCTCATTTATTGTCGATATTATCATTATTGCATATCTCATTCCATTTTCTACACAATTTTTAAGCACAGATGTAGAACCAATAATATTTTATTGTCGATATCGTGTTAACAAATGCACGAATTGAGAATAAATGATACATCTCGAAGTCAGGACTTTGATTCGAGCTACCTCTTCCGCCAGAACATCTGTCTACCATGTTCGTATTTCGCCCCTTTTCTGAATCCCCTGCGAAGTTTCACGATCTCCATTGATCTCTTCTCTAATGAATCGTCTATAGCCCACGGCAACAAAGCGATTGCAAATGTTGGTGGTAAGAATCGTTGTCTCTTGTTGTCTTATCTGTCTACTTTTTTTCTGTCTCGCCACGTTCTATCTTTTATCCGCGAGTTTTCGTTGGCTATGATCTTGACGACTTACGCTCCCTTTGTCCACTTTCGCGACACGAGCGAAGGTGACGCAAATTTTCTTTCAAGTCGGAGACGAAGCAACCACAAACGTATGTGCCATGCGCTGGTATAAGTTGGTATGAGGAGTTAGTGTTCGGAAAAATATTGGTAATACGAAAAAGAGTGCGTGGAATATATGACGATTCGCTTTGACAAGGGAATGTATTGCGCTCAGATCCACCGATTTATGTGAGATTTGTGTAAGACAGGGGTGTCAAACTCAAAAGCTAACTGGGGCCAAATAAACAATGCTTAACTTTAGGTGGGCCGCAAAAAAAAAAAATCAGTGTTCATAGAAACAAATATTTTTATTTTGACTAGTATATAATATTTATTTTACTTTATATATGATAAACATATATAAAGTTAAATTATTGTTTACGTCCTGATACTTGACATCAAAAATGTTCATCTCGGGCCGCACTCGGGCCGCGAGTTTGACACCCCTGATGTAAGGGATAGTTCTTGGAAAAATATTGTAGTTGACACTTTTTTTTATCGACCATCGTCCATGTTATCGTTTATATATAATTATATATTTTTGTTTAATATCCTAGTCGTAGACAATATATCCCACGTATTTCGAAATACACAGTTTATGAAAATAAAAATTCAACAGAAAATATTATAAATTGTTCCAACACGCATACCGTAAGCAAGAAAGATTTGCATTCATCAGATATCGTAATTGAGCTGTGTAAATAAAAAAATTACGAAAAATATCGACGAAATTATACAAATAAATGCTTAGAAATGAAAATACTATAGTGATCTCGATCCGAAAAATATGCAACTATGTAAATATACTATCCTTATCTTTTAATTAATTTCATTTGCATATTAAAAAACATAGTAATCATCAATGTGAATATACAATAAAATAACTACTACACTTTAATGTTGTAAAACATTTTTTAGAACATTAAAGTGTAGTAGTTAATTAATTAATATAACTTTATTTTTTAGTTTTAGAACATTAAAGTGTAGTAGTTATTTTATTATATATTCACATTGATGAGTACTATTTTTTTTAACATGCAAATGAAATTAATTAAATGGTTTTAAGTTATATTAATTATATTAATTAATATAACTTTATTTTTTAGTTTTAGAACATTAAAGTGTAGTAGTTATTTTATTATATATTCACATTGATGAGTACTATTTTTTTTAACATGCAAATGAAATTAATTAAATGGTTTTAAGTTATATTAATTATATTAATTAATATAACTTTATTTTTTAGTTTTAGAACATTAAAGTGTAGTAGTTATTTTATTATATATTCACATTGATGAGTACTATTTTTTNATGTACATAACTAACCTATCGGAAGTTTTATCTACAGACGTGCAAGACTTAACAAAATGGCAAAGAATAAAGCAGCCAAAGAGGTCCTTACTTATTTATTGGGGGTATGTGTACCAACAGCTAAAGAAAATGCAGCTAAAATACGTATACGTAAATTGGAATTTGATAATCACCTCTTAATGGTATGTAAACTTCAATAATATTTGTATGGTGGTAGATTTGAGGTTATGTTATTCTTACTTATGTTACACAGTATTTTGGCAAACACGAATTTGTTTACGCCACTGATCCGAATAAAATTAGCAAAATTGGTGACACAGTTTTAATACAAAATTTACCAGAAAGATTAACACGTCTTATTACTCATAAGGTACGTTTAGTATATGTATATAAAATATATATAATTCATGTTTAATGTATACATCAGCTATCAACCTAATAAATTGTATTATTGTAATATTTGCAGATTGTTGATGTGGTTTATCCATTGGGAGATATGACAGATCCCATAACTGGTAAAAAAGTAGTTGCAGGAAAATATAGGTATGATATTATTGTTTTCACAGCTGATATTTAATTTTTAATATAATCTGCCGAATACATGTTATGGTATATTAACTTTCCTTTTAATATTTATGAAAATATAGGGATGACATAGAACAAGATACCGAATTATTTGGTAAATTAGACTCCACATTTGAATACGATAAAGCGCCACAAAGAGGATCGATGGAAGGCAAAAGAGACTTTTCGAACAAAAAGACTTATGTTAAATATAATGATGATCCAAATAACGATGATCCATACGCAGTAAATCCATTCTAATCCATTTATATTAGGTTTAGTGTCTAATAAATAAAAGTTGTCTGTTACAAAAGATAATTAGATTTTATTTTAATCCATAATACATCATAATGAAGGTATAAATAGTTGTAGAAAAGTGTGTGTTTTTTGATAGAAATATGTGAACAAAGTTATTCACTATATACCAAAACAAACATAATCTTACATAAATATTTAATCGTTTCCATATAAATTAGTTTGCTTACAAAGAACAAAAAGGGTAACAATATTAAAATGATAATTTATGAAAAGTACGTTAACATTCCCCTATATACGGTACTTGTGCATATATTTTCAACTCGATAGTTAAATACAAACATTTTCTTCGCAATTTTTCCTTATTTAACTTGTACATTATTCGTTCATACTCTCGGTGAAATAGTATTAAATTAGTCAATCAGGAAACTACAAATATGTTAATTATATTAAATGTAATCAACAGCTATTACCACTACAGTCACCAATTCTAAATTTACAAATGTGATGACTTGATTAGTTTACGAATAAACAATATTATAACGAATCATTCAGAAAGAAATTCTCTTTCGAGAGCTGCTCCCATAGCATTCCACTCTCGATCATCTTCATTGTCCATTATTTCAAGATCTTCAATCGAATCCTGAGAATTATCACCTAAATCTAAATCATCCGGCAGGTCTTCGCCTCTTCTAAATCGTGTTACAGGATCGTCATCGTCGTCGTCATCATCCTCCTCCATCATATCTTCCTTAGCACTTGATGAATCATCGTCGCTACTTCCCCGACAAAATTTCGGTTTTTTCCTCAGAGGTTCATTTACGTAATTTTCTATCGAACAACGATAAAATTATTATCTTGCATATTTTATATCAACCGAAAAAAAAAATACAAAGTATTCATACGTTCATTGTGCATGGCATCTTCTGAATCGGAACCTTCTTGTCGAACTCCTTGATCATATTCTTCTTCACCATCGTCATCTTCGATATCGAAAACAGGTGGTTCCATTTCTTGATCGTCCATATCCTCTTCAACCTCTTTATCCATAATTTCTATCTCCTCTGGTGTAAATGACATTAGTGGATTAATACTATCGGCAAAAGTATTTTCCATCCGTCTTTCTTCTTCATCTATGCGTTCTGGACTACTACAATGCGGAGGTGGTATTCTAGATGCTCGAGCCTAAAAAACATATAATTACTTTAAGTCAGAGTAGTTTGCCAAATTGACTGCTTCATGTGGATTACTGCAATCGTTGCGTTGCTTTTATAGTACCTATACCTTTATGGTAAGTGGAAATAGACGTTCATCAACATGTTCCCAGCGTTCTGCACATGTCCAAAGCCAATCGGGATTTACAATTTTTATCTTTCCATTTTTCTTAGCTGTATTGACTTTAGCAGTGCCAGGTCTAATTGCAACTAAATGTGTAGTTTTATCTGTCAAGTCCTAATACATAATGATTCGTTAAAATAGACAAAAATAGTATACATATATCGATACGAAGATAAAAGTTATAAATTACTTGTGCTACTTCTGCCCCAAATGCTCTGGCAACTTTATATGCTCGACTTTGTTGGAGCTTTTGATTAGTAGGTATCAAACCACTGAAAGTTAAATGTACTCCTTTCAATACCTGCGCTCGTACTCGTGGAATGATATCTCTCAACGATTTGCGTCCATTTTCTTTATCATAATTAATATAAAACTCAGCATGAATCCTTCGAAGAATATCTTCCAAATATAATAAATAATCATCATCGTCTTCGTCTATAATATTATTTTCAGCGAGTTTTGCATCATTTTTCTTGATGTCTTCTTTCGTTTCTATTAACGCAATGCTTTCTTTCTCTTGCAATATTTTATGGTCTTTGTTCTCATCATCTTCTTCCAATAGTTTATTGTCTCTATCTTCATCCGTTTCTCCTGATATTTTAATTTCTTTATCATCGTTTCTTTGTATAATTGTTTTGTCTTCATTTTCATCTTTTCTTTGCGATATCTTACTATCTTTGTTTTCAGCGTCTGAATTGGAACTTGCGGTAACGATGTCTTTAGAGTTGTCTTTGGTAATTTCATCGTTCCTTTCTATAGATTCGCAAATGTTTTCCTTATCTTCAAACTTTTGATGCGTTTCCTTTTCAGAACTACTATCCACAAAAATTTCTTTCGTTAATTCAGATGCGCCATTTTCGTTAGTCGTACTTTGATCTTCCGCACAATGATCATTTATATTTTGCAATTCGGGTGAAACTGGAACATCATTTTTCTCTAAACCTGGTGGCGCGTGTATGTCACCAGTATGTCGAAAAAAATGATAGGGTTTCACCTGTACCAAATTACCACACCCTTGCCACACATCTTCTCTATCATCTATAATGCATACTAGGTCATCTCCGCAAGGAAATAAAGCTCTGTAAAAAATGAATTTGAATTATACGTAACTATATGCGTTAATCTGACCGACGGGCAAGATTTATGAATACTTAAATACTTGAGATTAGCTGTTTTCGACGCAGGATCAAAACATTCGTCCCTTGAAAGTATTCTATGAGAAAATAATATTCCATCTTTATCTAATAATCCTGCTACAGTATGAGCATAATTTCTTGCACCGAATGTACATATATGCAGTTCGTATAAATGGCTCATCTTAGAAAGAAAATGTCTGGTATTAGGCCTTAAACGGGTGTGATACCATGGAGAGTTCGATCCATACAGTCGATAATGATAAACATCCTTAAACATAAAAATTAATAATACCAATTCAATTACCTTTCATAATACATGAATAGTTACATATACCTTCATATAAGAGGGAACATTATCATTTGTTGTATGAACAATTGTTTGATCAAGATCAACAAGCAGAGCTAACTTGCGATCGTTTAAAAGACGTTGTTCATCTTCTTTTCCAATTTTTTCTGCCAGTTCTGGACATACTTTTAATTCAGGTACGCTATGTACCATCGGCACACTTGCCTGAGATATTTGTATATTTTCACTTTCTTTACCAACTCCTTCAACCCTTAAATCTACACCACATTCAGCACATAAATCCTTCATTACTGTAGGATGTCGACATCCTTCTAATATCATTATCACTTCCCTGAAATACTAATCACTTATGCAAATTTGGAAACAAAATTAAGAACCTATAGAGAATGATACAAACATTTTCAACAGAAAACATCGTTATTAATCAATTATTTTTCTTGTATGAAACTGTTTGCGAACTTTGTATATCTTAATATTTGAAAAGTTTTTAATAGAACCAACTCTATTATGCTTTTTAAATTAACAAATTGTACGAAAGTAAGGTTAAGAAGAACGTATACCCAGGCTGAACGATATCTCCTTCCCTTGCCAGGAGTTTTGTGACGCGGCCAAATCGAGTGGCCCGATACTTTTTCTCAGAACCTTTGACATCTTCGGTTCCTGGAGTAATATTCTGATATAAAAACAACACTCTGCCCGCTGAAACCATCGTATCCATTCGAACCCTCCATTTTAATATCTTTGCTGGTTGTCCACCAACTGGAAATGTGACTTCTATTGTACCCATAACTTTTTATCAGCAAACATTCAGACGCCGAAATATTATCTACTAATCGAAAAAAAAATTGATTTGTCAGGCGTTAAACTTTTTACGTTTTTGCGCGGGAGATGTATAAATATACTGATGTTAAATTTCCCACACCAACAAAGCATACGTACATGCACGAATAATTCGTCACAATACCATCAGAGTGCATGTACATACAGTGATACCGAAGTTTCTGCAAGTTTCTTCGGCCGCGGAACGCTTCGGTAGCGGGAATAGGAGAAAATTGCTTTGCTCCGATTGGCTGACGATTCATTGCCGAGACAGAGATTATCGCGGATTGGATACGCGGTAAAATGGCAGGGATGCTTGCAAAAGCTAAGAGAGGTAAAAAAAATCGTGTAAAACTTGAGTTATTACTAAATGTACGTAATGTTGCGCGATCACGCGAGCTTATCTACTATAGAACTACATGTAATTAATACAGTGTTGTCAACAAAGATAGGAGGAAAATTTGAATTATAAAATACAATATTAATCCTGAAATTGTATTATTTATTTAAATATAATGCCAGGCGAGAAGATATAGACTGATTGTTTTATAGAAGCGTTATTTAACGTTATTTAACGCAAACAATTGAAAAATCCAAGATTTCTTATGAACCTTTTGGAAAGAGGCATCTTCTATTTCAAATTGTTTGATCAAATTGAAATACATATTGGGCGGTTTGAGACAAGAAATCGTGCATCCCCAATCAAGTACTTCTCTCTCTTTCTCTCGGCTTTTCACCCTCGCGCACATATGTTACTTATGTAAAAGATAACAGAGATCTCTGGTAATAATTCCCAGTGCCTCTGCATCACCACGCTTCCGCCTTCAATTATCATCCAGCCCCAACGGAAAGAGAGGATCATCAACGAATCAACACTAAGCTGAATACATACGTTATTCCTATTGGCTAAAAAAATTAATCCTAGTGTTCTTAAATCTGCTACATATAAATACTATATATATAATAATAATATACTATAATATAATAATTATAATATAATATAATATAATATAATATAATATAATAATAATAATGTACTACAAATATAATATACTATAAATAATATAAATCTGCTACATATAAATTATGTATATATTGTTTATTATTTGTATATATAGTTTGCATAAAATATTAAGTATAGACTACGTATTGAAACAACAAACATATTTAATTTCCAATTTTTCCGAATTATTAAGGGTACTGAAAAATCTTGTTTTTAATATAAAACTTCGCCTAATAAAAAGCTTTTGTATGAAACTAGGGTAAGAAACTGAAGTAATAATAAGTATTTGTAATAATAAGTGAACAAGAATATAAAAGTATAAAAGATATTTCATACCAAGAGCAATACCGCGTGCCAGAGACAGACAGGACTTTTTTACGCGCTACTATGACCGTTTTTAAGGTTGATTGTTATTAATAAATCAGGCAATAAAAAAGTAATATTTAACAAATTACGATCAGTAAGTCTATTTTTTAGGAGATATATTGAACGTTTTTATTAATTACTATAAAAACTTGATACATTAATTCAATAATCAATGCATAAGTATAACGACTATACGGTGTAATGTTTATAAATTAAATAGATTTTTTTTGTAATATTCTAGTTCTTTTATGCTTTCTTTTATATCAGACAATGCTCTGTGTTCAGCACTCTTTGTAAACTCAGGAACATTCAAGTTCCACCTTCTAAAATATAAAAAGTTTGTAATATTATTACTGCATTCGTAAAAATTGTTGCACATACAATACTTACACTATTAATTCTTTGAGAGTAGAGGTATCTATAAGTCTGTAATGCAAGTAATTATTAACCGACGGCATATATTTATATAAGAACATACGATCCATATAAACAGAACTGCCTGCAAGTGGACATGATCCTATTTTTACATGCTTTTGTAGATGATTAAGTAGAATTTTTTCAGCATTTCGTACACTAGTTTTACTTAAACGTGATTCATCGGTTAAACCTGTCTAAATATTAAAATAATTGACCTAATTCTGAGAAAAATTATTTCTCCATTTTTAATGTAACTTAAGTTTTAGTAGTAGCAGGATTTTTGAACACATTTACCTCTTTATGGTGCTTCATGCACCAATCATTCATATTATCTAGTATTTCATCCGGTTGATGTATAACTA